GTCTGTCTATCTCGCTTTTTTCCTGCACTAAAAGCCCATTGTCGTATCGATGCGCTTCTCTAACTCTAACAAAATTTCAAAAACTGAGTGTAGAGTCTATGATTTTATAGTAATGTTCCTATTTTCGTGGTTTAAAGGTGAACAACGGCCACGGCAGTTTCTCTGGGTCTGCCCCTGCCTCGCTTGCCTTCTATGTTTCCCCTGAGAGCAAGATGTTCAAAGTCTTTATGTCAAGTCAAGTGTTTTAGAAACGTATCAAATTTATCGCTTCCAACTTGTTCCCATTAGTGAGAGGGCTTCTTCCGGCAGTACATTCTCGCTTGATTTCTTTCTGTCCATGAAATTATCAACAATCTCATCGTTCTACCCCTACCTAGGAGATTTTCTCTTACTCTCGGCACATACCTTCCAAGCTGGCGACTGAAGACATCCCTGCAAAGCCGACTGGGACTGAGAAATAAGCCGCCTGTCCTAAATCTCTCACTAGGAAGCTTTTCCCTCCGTGTTCATACAATCCAATTTGCCGGCGTTTGCCATCTGGCAAAGCTTACTGACTGCTCTATCGAGAAATAAGCCACCAGTGTCCAAACTCTCTCACCCACTCACGGAAGATCGATAAGGCACGCGAGGAGAGGTCTATGGTTAGCTCAATGTATTTGTGATTTCTTCAAGGGGATGTGGGACGGTGTCAGGTTTTAAAAAAAGAAGGTAGTTTCAGGCTTAGAAGGAGGCAAAACAGGCTAAGAAAGAGGCAGGATTCAGGCTTAGGAAAAGATAGTTTCAGGCTTAGAAAGGAGGAGATTCAGGCTTAGAAAGAGACAGATGCAGGCTTAGAAAGAGACAGATTCAGCTTTAGAAAGAGACAGGAGGAAGCTGAAAGAAAGACAGACGGGGGGTTTCGGGCTATACGTTCTTACTACAATCTCTCTGACCGTCTAGGTTTCGGGGTGAGATGGCGGACTAGCTATAGCCTTGTGAGAAGATGGCTAAAACTAAAAGGTTCCTGCACAATTCTGGGTGTGCCATTATTCAGTGGGTTTGTTAATGTATCTTCAGGCAGGCGTGTAGGTGTGTATGCATTGTGTGTGCAGGCGTGTAGGTGTGTATGCATTGTGTGTGTATGTGTGTGTGTGTGTGCTTGTGTGT